ACTATTTAGTTTTGTATATATGAAACGATAATAATTAAAAACAAAAATCTATCTTTTACTTTATTATTATTATTATTTTCATTTCTTCATGTTGTCATTTATTCTATCGTTTTATTTCATTTTTCTTTTTTTTTTTGTGAATAAATATCTCAAGTCAAGAACAAAGTTTGTAGATGGCATGTGTCCTTGAGCTTGTATGTACGTGCACTTGAATAATCAAAGGAAAGAACGAGAAGCAAAAAAAAAAGCAATGATGCATGACTTCTATATAGTCGTATGTAATAATGACTCTTTTTTTCTTTTTGCTTCGGTGTATGAGACTTGAAGGTGAGTGTCTCTATTGATAATTCATCGTTCCAAAATTTTGTCTTTATTACTATATTTCTTTACTCATCAGATACCTATTTGCGACAGTAATATACATAGTAAACAAGGTAATAGCAAGGACATATATACTATTTAATCATAAAATTCGTTATGACTACAACTTCTAATACAAATCTTCCAACTGTGGATCATAATGTGAATACAGTTGTTAGTGATGATCAAAAAACAAAACATGAGGACGAAGCAAGAAAATCACCATTATCATCAATTGATAATGAGCAAGGTGGAAAAACAACAAAAAAGGTCGATGATTTGAATAGTACTGTACATGCAGATAAACTATCATCAGTAGAATCTTCTCATCAAGGTATGAAGACAAATATAATATCAAATAATTTATTAGATACTAATATAGATAAAAAGAATGAAGGCAATACAGTTGGAACAACTCAACATAAAGAAGAATCTAAATCAACACCTGTTTCTTCTACTTCAACTACTACGAATACAACAAAAACGACAGTTAAAACGCCTTCTAGTAGTCCAACTCCAGATAAAGATAATAAAAAAGTTGAAACAATAACAACAACAACAGTTACTTCTACATCTAATAAAGATCATGATATACATGATCATAGTAATTTTACAATTGGAAAAGGTGATTCAAAACATTTAACAGATTTTCAACGTCAAAAAGCAAAATATTTTTTTCATGTTAATCTTGGTAAACAAAAAAAAAATTTATTTTGAAAATTAACATTATTTTTTTATTTTTTTCAATATTTAGATATTGAAAATAAAGAATTTGTAACATGGAAAGATGTTGAATTTTATTTATTAGTAAGTAAAAATTTTAAATATATATATATTTGAAAAACAAATTTTGTTTTTTATTCATAGTTTCATGTAACAGCTGCAAGAAAAGAAGGTTCAGGTGGTGGTGATTTAGAAGCACGTTTAAGTCGAGCTACAAGAGCTTTTTGGGAACATATTCATGATCAAATACCATTAGTTGATGGAAAACGTGATACATTAACATTAGATCAATTTCTTGATACATGGGCGAGTCTTGTTGATTATGTTGTTCGAACAAATCAATTACCTCCAATTGTTCATGATTTAGTTAAACTTGGTTTTGAATTATATTCAACAGATGATTATAATGGTGTATCATCAACAATTCAACCTTCGGCATTTGATCAACTTTTTCAAAATATGAATTTAAGTCGAACACATGCTATTATGGCCTATCAATTTCTTACTGAAGTAACTAGTATTTATTTATTTATTTTTAATTAATTATGTATGTATATTTCCTTTTTTATATAGAATGGTACAAAACCATTAGATGCTGATAAAATTGAATCAATTGTCAAAGCAGTAATTACATCCTCGGATGTAGAACATGATTCACATTTTCTTCTACCTGGTTTTTTTAAAGTAATAGCAAGTAGAAAAGATAATGTTAAAGAAAAAACAAATCAATCATCTTCACCAGTTCCCGATAAGGATCAATCTGAAGTTCATGATGTATCTTCATCAAAGTCAACTTCTCAAACACAACAACCAACTACATCATCATCTACTCAATCACAACCGACGCAAAAAACTTCTTCAACAACTGTACAAGCTCAAAATCCATCTGAACCTTTTTCTCAAAATCAAGTTAATCCTGGTTCTACATTGGATTCATTGAATATACAACAACAAAATATATATCCATCATCTGAAACATTACCACCAAGGGTTGTCATTCAAAATGAAGATGACAATATTCGTCAACTTTTACGTTTTTATCATATAGATGATGGTGATACTGTTGAAGTTGCCGATGGTTCTGTACCACGTGTTGTTTTTGTTCATCCTGAACGACCTTTACCACCTTATGTTCAACAAAATCCACAAGTATATCAAAATTTACAACGAGGTTTGTAATTTTTATATTTTTATTATCATTATAAAATTTTCTTTTCAAATAAATTAGATCCAACAAATATCATAGTACAACCACAAACTGGACTCAATGTTTTACCTAATTTAATGCAAAATAATACAAGACCATTTCAACAAACAACTACAACAACAACAACAGAAACAAAACCAAAAGTAACATTAGAAGAACGTTTATCTCGTGGTGAAACACAACAAGGTCCTACAATACCAATTCGTCCAGATCAACAACAAGGTGGTAATACATCAACAACACGTATACGTCAAGTATATCCACATATAAGTGAAATTCAACAAGAAGAACAATTAAAACAAGCTAAACTTCAAGCAAATCAAAATCTTATTAATGAAAAAAAACCAAAAGAAGAAACTTCAATTATTAATGATGTATCATCAAATAAACAAGATAAAATAAAAGAAAAAAAAGAAATAACACGTGAAGATGAAGAAAAACTTGTTGCTACTATATTACAAAGATTAACTCCAATAGTTGAAAAAAGAGTTTCAGAAGAATTACATCGTATACATAGTGGTGAAAATGATCAAGATGATAATCTAGAATTTATACCATTTCCATTTATGTTTACAACTGGTGCTGTTCCTTTTTTTGTACCTCCACGTGGAGGACCACCACCACAAGCATTTAGACCACCACCATCACCAACTGGACAACAACAACAACAACAACAACAACAAAGTTTTCAACAAAATAGAGCAGATCCAAGACAACAACAACAACAACCAAAACAACAGCAAGCAAATTTACCTAGAGTAAATAAAAAGAAAACTTTTATTTTAAATTTTTCTTTTTTATCTTCTTCATATATAATATTAGGAAGCTGAATATATTGGACTACCACCAGGTGCTGCATTTTTACCTCCTCCAATAATTATGGCTATGATGAGTGATTTAGCAAGAGGAGGTATGGCAGGTGAAATACCTGTTTTTCCATCAAATATGCCACCTCCTCCTCATGGTCCAGGTGGTATGCCTGCAGGTCTTGAAGGTCAATCAATTCCAGAATTGAATTAAATGATAATTTTCAAAATATTATTATTGTCTTTTTTTTTTAATTCTAGGTTTTATGATGTTTGTTGATGATGAACCAATGATGGATCTTCCACCTGGTTTTCCACTACGTCCAGAACCTCGCTTTTAACGTTGTTGTTTTTTTTTTATATTTTAGATTAAAAAACAACAGTTTTTTTTCACTATTCGTTCTTGCGCTTTTTTTTTAAAAAATTCTCAATAAAATTATCTAGTACTTATGTCATTTAACAAATAAATACATATTTTTTATTCGATAAGATAAAATCGGTGTTGTGTTTTTTTTTGAGTATGATTTTCTTTATTTTTATTTCAACAACTATATATAAAACAGATTCATTTTTCTGTTCATTATAAAAAAAAAGAGAAAGAGGAAGTGATCAACCTTCATCACATTCAAGAGCAAGTTTATCATCATGTTCATTATTAATAGTTTCATTTGATTTTTTACATGTCAAATTTAATTCTAATATTTGTAAACGATGATCAATGAAATTTTGATTATTAATATATGATGGTTTATCTATTTCATTAGCACGATTATATAATTCTTTTGCCCATTTTAACAAAGTAATTGTATGTGTTAATGATAATTTTGAAGTATATTCAGCTTTTTCAATAAAAGCTTTAGCAAGATCTCGTATTAAACGAATAAGTAAACATAGATAATTATCAAATATTAATAGATTTGATTTATTATAATTAAATATCCATTCATATGAAAATAAATTATTATTAACGAAAATATAAATAATATGAACACGTTGAATAATAATTGGAATAATATCTTTAATAAATAAATTTGATATTATAAATAAAATTTTTATTTTTGATTCAATTTGTTTAAAAAATTCTAAACATTCATCTTTATTATTAAATATATTTAAAAATTTTTTTTTTGTATTTTTTCTTTTTGAATTTATTTGTATTAAATCATCAATACAAATTTCATAATCTAACATTATACGAGATATATTTAATGTTGTTAATATAGTAAATTTATGTTTAAAATAATTACAATTATCTGATTGTTCAATATATGAATCAAGCCAAATAATTATATAATCATTTTGTGGTGAAAATGATGAAGTTCGTTTACGTTTACAATCATTTGATAAATAATTTCGTATAGAATTTTTTGGTGGTAATGGTCGTATTATAATTCGTCCATTTAATGTATTTACATTTGTTCTTAATAAATGATCTTGTAGATTAATAAAATATTCTTCATTAAGAATTATATAACGTCTAAAACGTGTATCATATATTTCTAATAAATAATTATCCAAAATAAGTTTGTAATGATTACTAACCATTTGTATAAGATCATTATAATGAACATCGGGATTAACTAAGAACGAGTGAATTCTATGAGAGAAGTAAATGATCAAAGTCCATGAGGTCATTGTCTAACAAGAAAATTGATGTGTAGTTTTTCGTTTCTCAGTACTGCTTTGCAGTTTGATGTATGTTACTTTTATTTATTCTTTTGCGTTCTGTATTACTACCTGAAGAAAGGAAGAAAAGAACGATAAAACACATCTACTATAGTTATTGAATTTAGCTTGGAAGTTTCAAACTAGTTCGGATATTTCATATTAGTCATGATTGTTCTATATATAAAATGTCTATACTAATTATTTTCTCATGTCTCATAACAGAAACAAAATTTGACATGGATTTATCCAAGGGATCAGTTGAAACTTTGATTATATGTGGAAGTCTAACTAGATCCACTAGAAAATTTAATGAACAAACAAGTATGGAAGAAGTTAATGAATATGTAAGTCATGAATTTTATTCAAGTCTACCACAATCATATCAAATTGTCGTATATGATACGACAACAATGTCTTTCGTTGATCTTGAAACTCTATTACGAAATCAATTAAATCCATTTCAAACAACTTCCTCAATAGATATTGATAATATTGAGAGTATGCCATCATGTACGAGATTATATGTTGTAAATCAATCGTTGATACATTCACATATTTGTTCTTCAAATCGTAATAATAATTATATAAACAAGATTTTGTATATGATTCGTTTTTTTTTTTTGTTTTGTGTCTTAGAAATTCAACATGATCAAAGCTTATCCAATGATAGTTATGAAAACTCATCAATGGATGATATTCGTAATGAAACAAGTAATAATTTTATTATAAAATGTCTCAAGAAATTAAAATCTTTTATTCTATATAGATTGTTTTATAAACAGTATTGCAACAGGTGACGATATTTCACAGGACAATAATGAAGTTTTATCACAAATGACTGGAGGTAACATATTTAAAAACAATGAAAATTTTAATTAAAATACTATTTATTAATATGAATACAGCACTTTCATATATTGTCTTTTTTGTTGTTGATTTATTAGATCTATCATTAACGACAACTCCAGCTGTTATTCAACATTCACAAATACATAATTTATTATCGAATCGATTATATTTTTCATTAGATGTTAAACCTTTTCAAAGAAATATTTATAAATCTGATGAATTTAGTATACGTGCAGATAAAACAAATGGACGTATTGCTCGTATACAAGGTATTAAAACAAATAAAGAAAAAATGCGTCAAATTTTGCCAAGAATTCGAGTAAGTCTATTGCGAAAAAAAAGCTTTTTTTTTTTTCATGAACTATAATCTTTTGTACTTTTAAATTTCAATTGTTTCTTTATTTTGTTTGTTTGTAATAATTTCTTATTTATAGATACCTTCAAATGCTTTTCAATCTAATGTAAAACTTCGTATAATAGTTGTATTAGAAGCAATAGATAATGACAAACGAATTTGGTATAAACATCCTGATAAAGGATTTTTACCAGATCAATATACAAAAGATACAAATCCAATTAATCCAATTGAATTCAATTTAAATAAAAGTAATTTAACAAATGATGAAGATTTTATGTAAGTTAAAATTGAAATTAATCTTTATTTAAATTTTTTTGTTTTTTCTATTTAGATTAAGTCTACAAATGATAACAAAATGGAATAAATCTAAAAAAGATTTTGAAATAATTCATCAATTAGATGAAAAAAATGTTGTTCAATTACATTCAGCAATACATGATTCATGTTCACCACGTTTATTATGTGTTCTTGTACGAGATAATAATCCTGATTGGAATACAATTTGTTTATCAGATTTTATTCGATTACCACGTAAGAAAAAATAATTTTATTGAAATTTGAAATAAAAATAAAAATTTTTTTGTTTTTCTTATATAGCAAAATCTGTTAGACAAAGATCTTTGAGTGTTGTTACAGGTTTGTTTTTTTATTTTTAAAATAATTTTATATATTAAAAATATTCTTATCTTTAGAACGAACTTATTCACCACAACGAAAACGAGCAAAAGTAAATGATTTTTTTAATGTTTTATTACATATATATAAGTTATTTTTTTTAGTTTTAGATAAATATGATATTTAATAATAATGTCGATCAAATTCTACAATAAATTCAAATAATCGTCTTAATTAAGAATTTTTAGCGTAAATTACTCCTGGTTTAATTCAATTCAAATTATCTACAAATAACTTAAATAAAAAAAAACATACAAAAAAAATGTTAATAGAAAAATGACTTCAAGTCTGATATATGCTCATTCATAATTAAAATATACAAAATAATGAGAAGAATTGTGTTTTTTTTGTATACAGAAATAAAATATTTTTTTACAAAAAGAAATTTTCTTTTTTCGATATTTTCTAAGTATCTCAGGTATCGTACTGTGCATATTTTTATTTATTTAACAATATCACTATCTATAGGATTTTATTGAAAAAAACTTAACTTATTAATACAATCACAAGAAAAGAATAAAATGTTCAACACAAGAAAATTTATTTCTAGAAGTTGATTTTTATTCTATATTTGTGTTGCGATTAAAGATAAACCAAATAAAATTCAGTCAAAAGATTAATTACAAGAATAAAATGTCAGGTAGGTGTTTGTATTTATTATTACCTATACCAAGTTATAATACAATTCTTAAAGAATGATTTATAAATAGGTTTCTTACTATAGGACAAATCAGCTCAGTAGGAAATTAAAAGGAAGGAGAATACCAAGAACGATCTTTCCTTTCTTGAAAAATGTCCAAAAATTCATGATACTATCTTTAAAGAACTTCATAACATCATGTTGAAATACTTTGATTTGACAAAAGTCTTGATCTACTACTCAATCAGATTATAATACTTTTCAATAAGAATGATCTTATTTTCTCAAATTTGATTGACTTTTATCGAAAGTTCTAAGAATTTAACTGAAATAGTTGTATCCATGTTGCTGATTTCATACCAAAAAAGAAAGAACTCTAGTGAATATATCCATCAATCATATACGATTAGCCAGCATGAGTATCCGAGAAATTTTATGTGCATTATAACAAGTGCCTATAGAAGTTTTTCTTTATAGATTTATTCGTGGAAGAAAGTATGAGTCTCAGTGGCGTAGCCAGGGGTAAGGCCATAGCTCCAAAAGTTATTGCCCATAGATATTTTTGAAATCATAACGGTTGCCATTAGCCACCCGTAACTCAAAATAGTTCGGCCAATGAAATACCTATGACTCAAAAATTCCTGGCTACGTCACTCGTGAGACTTCAATTTATTACTCATCTCTATTGATTTCATAGGATATTTAGTAAAATACTGACGCAATATCACTTAAAAATAGACAAATATTGATGATTGGTAATAGTTGTGCATACAAACCAGTAGAATAAATGTAGTCATATGCCATCTAAACTTTTTCGTTTGATCATTACTCAGTTCCTTTCTTTTCTATTCTAAATTGGAATTTTCTTTAATAATTATTTTTCGAAAAGTGAAGGTTGGAAACTAGTGACTTTTGAAAAAAATAAGATAAAATTTTTTATTTGATTATCTAAATTTAGATCAGGAAGTCCGTCTATCAGTAGCAAAAGAGCGGCATCTATCAGAAAAAACGGATTGATCTTATTGAAATTTGTTTGTAGTTATTGCACCATATACTATATATCTGTACCTTCTATCTATCTATATATGTATATTCATCTTATCATAATTTTAAATCTCTTGTCCGATTGATATAATTTAAATAAAAAGATCATCTTCTATCTACAATGATTCAATTTTTTAAGATTGACTATGAATAATAATCAAATAAAAAAAAGCTGTTATGATTGATGTTTTTAAATTGATAAATGAGATATAATCATCAGTTTAAACATATCTGTTTAGTTTTTTTTTCTATGTGATAATCAATACTCTAAGTTTATATATATATATATTTTTTTTTTAAATTTCAATAAATAATTTATTATCATATATTTAAATAAAAAAGATTTTATACAACACACTATTGAATAGAATACAAACGTAGAATTATACTAGATAGATAAATAAAATACGAAGTATTCAATTAGAATACTTACATCCTCACACTATAAGTATAACAGATGCCTAAATAGATGTGAAAAGGATTGGTAATCATTTTTCTTATTGGTTATTGAATTAATTGTATCATATGACATACCTTTTTCTTTCGCTGTATACAAAAGTGAAGTGTCATTACAATCAATTTGATTATAAAAAAAAGAAATTATTTAATTAAATAAAAATACATGTACAAAAAAAACAAAGAAAAATTTTTAAGATTAAAATTTTGAAAAAATTTCAATAGTTATTTTTTCTTAGTTGATCAGTGATCATGGCGACATGCCTCTTTAACACTCCTAAACCTTAGAATAATCCTAGTTGGAAATTTTTCGTTATATTCTGCGCGTGGTAATGTTTTCCAACATTAAACCATTTTTCTATCGTACTAATCGAAGGGCACGTTTTAAATGACTTTATCCCATCAAACAATCAACACATATATTAATTGTGGTTCTGATAAACGACATACAACAAATTTAAATAATCAATCAAATATTGATCAAATTCATGAACATATACGTGATTTATTTGGTTCTCATTTACCAAAATCATATTATCTTACATTCTACAATAATGAACATAAAAAATTCATTAAACTTAATCAAAATGTATTAGATTATGGATGGAATCCATTTCAATTGAAATCATCTATTAATAATCAAAGTATTGAAAATATATTACATTTTGTTGAATTATATGTTATTGATACTACAGATGAAAATTCTGATCATGATACACAATCTGGTATAAATAAATTTTAACATTAATAAAGAATAATATAGATAATAGTTTTTTTTTTTTTTTCATCAGGAGTTCAATGTAATGAAACAGGTTCTGATGACTCATCAAAAACAATAATTCATGAAACATTATCTCAACCAAGTAACATTTTGTAAAAAAAAAAGAAAAATTAATTAAAAAAAATTTTTTTCTCTAGATTTACCAATACATAACAATACAATCAATAATAATGATTGTCAAGAACAAGATTTATTAAATGCATTGCTTACTAAAGAATCAATTGATACAAGTAAGATTTGTTTTTTTTTTGTCTAAGATAATAATACATCAAATCGAATTATTTAGTCATTATAGATACTCTTCTTGATACAACATATACAAATGATAATAATATTAATAATGATGAATCATTAAATACATATCCAAATGAAAATATAATTGATTCTAGTACGATTGAATATTTTTCTTATTTTTAAATTAAAATTAAGAAATTTTTATTCTTGATAGATTTTTCTTCGAACGATTTAAATGATTCTCATGTTACAGATTTCGTCAATGCATTACTTTCTGAAAGCCAATCACATCAAAGTAAGCTTTGACATACATATCAATTTTTTGAAATAATTATATTGAAATTTTTCTTTTTTTTTGTCAGATACATTTATTCGTAATGATTCATTAGAACCTATTGAAGGTAATATATTTAAGACAATATATTTGTATTTTGTTTATTTATTTATTATTATAGTTGGAGATGCAATACCTTTACAAAATAATTCTTTATATTCAATTCAACATTTAAATAAATTTCAAAATTCAATACAACCAAATGAACAATTAAATATTGAATATAATCGTTTGTATTTTTCACTTGATGTTAAACCTGAACAAAAAGATATTTATAAATCTGATAAATTCAATCAAAAAGAAGAAACAAAACCGAATGGATATATTACTCGTATACAAGGTATTAAAACGGCAGAGCAAAAAATGTGTTCAGTATGGCCAAAAATTCGTGTAAGTAATATCAACTGAGATTTTTATGATGACACGATTTTTCTCTTTGATGTTATCTAACTCTACGCACTAAAATAATATGTATTATTATTGAAATATGTCTTAGTCTATTGACTAAATATTGATACATTGTTTTTTTATGCACATACAAATTGCAAATAACCAATTTGGTTGAATATTTTGACCTTATGTATTTTCGTCTATGTTTTTTTTCTAGAATATTTCGCAATTAGTCATATGCAAATAAGAATTAATCAATTACAAATCATTATAAAAAAAAACACATTTATGAACATGTAATATATATTTTTATTTTATAAACTTAATGTAAGTGAAGATTACAGCGAATTTCTCTATTAGAAGATTTTGAAATCAAGTAAAATCATTGAAAGATCTTTTCGGAGTCTTATTGATTTATAAGACATTCTAATGATATCGATATTATTACTTCGATTTTTCTTTTATACAAATTTTCACTTTTGTTTACTCATGTAGTTCTATCATTCATAACTGTACTTTCATCGTCATATATACTAGTTTTAACGTTTAGACAGTGGGGCGTAGCCAGGGGTAGGACCATTGGACAATTGTCCATAGCTCCAAAAGTTATTGCCCATGGAATTATTGAGCTATGCAGTGCTTGAACAGTTATTGCCCATAGATATTTTTGAAATCATAACGGTTGCCCTTAGGTGCCCGTAACTCAAAGTAGTTCGGCTGATGAATTGCCCATGACTCAAAAATTCATGGCTACACCACTGCGTTTAGAATATAAGAATAAACAATTTTCACATTCGTAGTTCAGTAGTGACATTCAAGATTACTATGTTATTCTTTATTTAAATTACGAGTGTCTGTACTATTTAGGAGTGAATATAACATGTCAGCTTCCAAGTGCATGATGTACAGTATGTCTAGCATGTTTAGAGGGAGCGTTTCTAAGTGTCAAATCGTTTTAGAGTTGAAACTATGCGCATCATTTGGGTTCGAATGAGATATAGATACCTAGAGGATCAAGCTCAGGTGAATAGTTTATCGTAAAAGTTATAAATCTTTTGAGTGCTTCTATTCTAAGATATAGCTATGATGAAAACATGCTTTTCACGTTGCTTATCCACAACGGCTAACTTCAATGCTCTTATGCCATAATAGACGGAATCAAAAAATCTGAAATTTTCATAATAGAATATTCTAATTAAGATCTGTCTCTATGCAAAGTTTCAAGTCGAAATTCCAAACGTTTCTGAGAAGATCGCAGTATCCTGCTAGAAATTAC